GGGAGTGGACATTAGGGGCAAATATTATGCAGAATTTGCAAAGATTTTGACCAGGGATGCTCTTCAATTTGTGGCTGATTTGCAGAGGGAATTTAGGAACCATATTAAGTATGCTTTGGAGTGCAGAAAGGAGGCTAAGATGAGATACAATAATGGGGGATTGCCGGGGTTTGATCCGGCCACTAAATACATAAGGGAAGAGGAATGGGTTTGTGCCGCTGTGCCGCCGGCGGTGGCTGATCGAAGGGTGGAAATTACTGGGCCGGTGGAGAGGAAGATGATCATCAATGCTCTCAACTCTGGAGCCAAAGTTTTCATGGTGAGTAGAAATACAGAATTTACTAATCAGTGTAAATTTTGCTAATCCCAAAATTCTTACTTATAAGTAAATAAATATTTTATTTGTCAGAATTCTAGACAAGTAAGTTGACTTACTTTTTTAGGCCAAGCTAAAAGCATGCTCTCATGAATTCTTTGCAATCTCTGTAGATAACTTTCTTAGAAATAAGTTAGTTACTCATGTTTTATTTATATTACTTAAGGCCTGCTTGGGAGTTAGGTAGCGGTTATGAACTTTTTTAAAGTACTGATTTTGAGAGTTTATGAGCAGATCGAATTTGAACGCTTTTAGTTGTGATTTTTAAAATAGTCTAATCCTTATTATTCACCGATTTTGAAAATTTTTAAAAAAATTACGTACATATATATCCCTCGGCGAAACTTTCAGTTTATAATTTGTTGTATGATTTTTTATTAATATTTTACTTATAAGTAATTTTTTCCTTAATAAGTTAATATTTAACTTAAAAATTTTAATATTTACTTAAAAATTTAAGTTAGCATTTTTGGCTTATAAATAAGTTACTTTTAAACAATTTTTACGCATAAATGAATTTTTTACTTTAAAAGTAATTTTTATATTTTATAAGTAAATTTTTGTCGTATTAGAAGTATTTTTAATTTATAAATTATTTTTAATTTATAAATAACTTTTTACACAAAGTGATTTTTTAATCTTATATTATAAGTAATTTTTTACATATAAGTAAATTTTGTGCTTATAAATATATATTTTTAATTAATGTATTTTAATTTATAAGTTAGTTTTGAACAAAA